CAGCCCGCCCGTGGGACGCCCACCTGCCGCCCCGACGGGAGGCCCCCCGCCGCCGCAGCCGCTGCCCGGGGCCGGGCGCCCGCAGCGGCACCATGAGTCCCCGCTCGTGCCTGCGTTCGCTGCGCCTCCTCGTCTTCGCTGTCTTCTCGGCCGCCGCGAGCAACTGGCTGTAAGTCGGGCAGGGAACCCGGCTGAGTCGGGCGGGGGACGGGCGGGGCGGGGTGGGGCAGGCCCCGGGGGCAGCGACCGGTGCCAGGCGGCGCGGGGCAGCGGGCGCGGGGGCGCCCGGCAGGTGTCTCGGCTGCGGGACGCGAGCCTCGCTCACGCTCTCCGCTGCCTGGGCCTCCTTCTGGACACCCCTCCTGTCCGGGTCCGGCTCCCAGCCCAGAGGCGGCAGGGGTGGCGGCGGCGTCCGCACCCACAGGCTGCCTGGGGCTCTCGAGAGCGCAAGGGGTGCGAGCGCGCGGCGGCCGCCAGGGGTGGGGTGCCCGGCGCGGGGCGCAGCCCAAGCCAGGCTGACAGGTCACCGAGGAAGCCCGTTACGGGACTCTGGGTCATAGCAGCAGGTTAATCCCAAGAAGTCCAGGGGTGAACTCCCCGCGCAGAAGTGTGCGGAGCTGCGCCGCTCTGCGGGCTGGGCTGGAGGCGTGCAGGGACCTGTCTCTGCTGGGGGAGGCGGGAGCCAGGGATGGAAGGAGGGAAGGGACCAGGACGCGCGGGGCCTCCAACAGCCCGCGGCTGGCGTTGGCCGGCCTTGGTTCTCCCTGGGGCAGGAAGAAACTCTGTCTAGCCCTTAAAGAGGACAACAGCCCCCCCACCTCTGTGTGTCTCGCCTAAGGAGGGAGGGGTAGTGACCGCTGGTGACCTGTCTGTCTGTTTCTCCTTGAGGAGGGCCTGACTCAGGGTACTCCCTATGAAGGGACAGAAGGTTCGATAGGGGGTGTGTGGGGGGGATTCTAAAGGGATGAGCTTGGCTGAGTGAGTCAACAAGGAAGCAAAAGGACCCTGGACTCCTCCATCCCGATCTCCCCCCCCCCCGCCGCCCCCAAACACACACACACACAGAGTGACCACTCTTCAGGCCCCAGGCTTAACCCTGGCCCAGAGAGCTGCCCCCATCCGCTGTGGGCAGCCAGTGGGGAGCCAAGCCCCAATATTGATCTGAAAAGCATGAGGTGGGAAGGGGGATAGCCAACAGTGTAGCTGGGTTTCCATGGAGACAGCGGGAGAGGAAAAAATCCTCTCTGCATTAAGACCAAAGAACAAATATCTCCCATGAAATTGCCCCGAGTGTCCAATGGCTGTTGCTATGAGGTCATTGCAGCCAGTCGGGGCCCTGCAGGATTGAAGGAGAGTGTTCTTTGGGGTCCCAGACACCCAGGGCTTGGGGGACAGAGGTGATGTGGAATTCTCCCAGCTGTTCTGAGCGAGGACTCCGAGGCCTCCCGAAGTGCCTGAGGAGCTTTTGTTTTTCTTGGAGCCTTAATTTGATTAACACTTCAGGGGCAGTGGCACAGTGTACAGAAACCAGGGCACCACCACCTCCCCCCACTGCCCCCCTGCAGACCAGCCCCCTGAGTGGGGCGTGCGTGGGACGCAAAGCTAAGGAAGGCCACTGATGTGGACTTGGAGGATCCTGGGGTCCCTGGAGCTGACTCTTGAAAGCACTGGTTCAGAGCTGGGGTCTCCTCGGTGAGCTTGGGCTTCAAGAAAAGCAAGGACTGGGTCTGCCCCGCCGAGCACTGAGGCCAAAGAGGCAAGTGGCAATTCAAGGGACTGGCCCAGGCCTTCATGGAAGATAACGACAGCCGCAGTGTCAAGTCCTTCAAGAGCATCTAGTGTTTTGGATCAGTTTATAGATGAGGAAACTGAGCCCCCAGGAAGGGGGAGCTACTTGCCCAAACTCAGAGCTAAGAACTGAACCCAGGTACTCTGACTCTCAGGCAGTGACATATCCCCTTCCTTGGAGCCGTCCCAAAGTTGAGCCAGTGTGGCCCAGGTGGTGTCACCACCCACCCTCAGCCTCGTCCAAACCCAAAATCCCAGCCAGGGAGGCAGCCCCAGCTTTGGGTCACACAAACCATGGGGAATTCCAACAGCTCAGTTCTCCTGCTGGCGCCGTGGGGGATGGGGTGAGGAGGGCAGCCCAGAGGGAGAAGCAAGGTTGGCAAACCTGTTCTCTGCAACGGTGATGGTTCAGGTTGCCACGGAGCAGTCTCTGGATGACCCCGCTCACTTCTGCTCCACCCCGGGCTTTGAGCCAAGGGTCTCTGCGTAGCCCAAGGCAGAAGGCACAGGGGCTCCCCGGGACCCTCCCCAACCAGAGAGGCTGTGATGGAGAAGAGCTCTCTGGGCACATCCAAGACTGGGTCATTTGCCTTGTATTTATCACCCTCCATCCCCAGGCCAGGGACTGAGCCAGCTGTGGGGGAAATCGGTGTCAGCCTGGTCTTCAAGGAGCTTGGGGTCTAGGGAGAAAGACCAGATAAAAGCAAAACCACAGATGGGTGCGGCGGTGTACATGCTGTTGCTGTCAGAGGAAAGAGTTAAGTGTGAGCTAGAGCAGTCACGGAGCGGGGATTTGACCTGGATGATGTAGAATCATGACAACGAGAATAATGATTATAATAGGTCCCACTGTCCTAGCTAAACCCTGACAACATCCGATTCCCGTTTCACAGATGAGAAAATTGGGGATCACAGAGGCAATTACCCAAAGTCACCTAGCTAGTAAATGGCAGAAGGATCTGACCCAAAAGCTGCCTGTAGAAAGAAAAGCTTCAGGCAGGCAGGCATAGTGGCTGGCACTGCGTCTTTTCAAGTGTGAGCCACGCTGGAGGTCTGGCCCCAGGAGGATGGCTGGCAGCGCTCTCTGAGGGTCAAGGCCTGCTGTCCACTCCCCTTCTAGTACCTGGAGTCAGGCTTCAGTCCAGGGGTGGCTGGCTGGCCTGTTGCAAGAGCCGGTGCTGTCTGTTGTCTCAGAAGGGCGGGTGGCCTGGCAGGCAGGCCAGGTGTCCCGCTGCGTGCAGCTGTTGGACAGGACGGAGCCTGGAGCTGGGAGGGCTCCGCAGCCTGAGGCCTGGGCAAGCCCGGAGAAGCTGGAAGCTGTTGATTAGACTTGTGTCTGGCACCCAGAGCGAGTTGACAGCTTGTGGCAGCTCCCACCACTGAGGGAGGGAGGAATGGATGGATGAAAACAGTCCGTCTGTAGAAGGCCTGGACTCTGCCACAGACTTGGGCTCAGAAATGTCTCTGAATGTCCCCCCCGACACACATACCCACACTGGGGCTGTGCTGGGAGTCAGGAGACTAGAGGTTCCAGTCCCGGCTCTGCCCCACATGTTGGGTGGCCTTGGTTGGACCTCTTCCATCCTCTGGGCCACAGTCCCCGGCAGATTGCTCTGAACCCCAAATGGAAGTGCTGGGAAAAGTTAGGGAATAGATAAGCTAAGGTTTCATTACTGTAGATTTCCTGGAGGAAAGCAGTGGTGCACTGAGCTGGGGTCCCAGCAGAGGCCCACTAGGCAAGGACAGGGAGCTCATGCGACCCTCAAAGTTTGTCCAGAAAAGTGGCTCGGAACTAGACAGATCTCCGGGACGACAGACAGCCCACAGTTCCATCCCAGTTCTGCCACTAACCAAGATGAGTGGCCTTGGACAGGTCAGTCAGCCTCTCTGAGCCTCAGGTTCCTCATCTGTAAAATGGTACCCATCCTTGGGGGGCTGTGAGGCAAGGGAAAGGCCACGCATGCAGCATCTGAGCACAGTGCCAGGCACACGGCTGCTGCCGGAAGCTGAGGGCTGCTGTCAGTGAGATGGGGGAGTCATGTCCCTGTTTCCAAGGACGATGGAAAGAGCAGGCCTTTGGGGTGCTGCTCCCAAGCCCTATCTACACCCACACAATTCTGTCCAGATACTGTGAACTTACACAGGCTACACAGGTAGGATCCTAGGCTGCCACCTCCCTGTTCTTCAACCAGGGCTCCCACAAGAGCCTCACAGGGCCAGGGAGGCCCAGCCTGGTTCACAGGCAAATCCTGCTGGCCTGAGGAGTTATTGCTCGAGAGCTCTTCCATGACACTGGGGGAGGCATCACGTTCCTTACTAGATCTGACATCCCGGCCAAGCTCCTGCACGCCTGCTCGCCCAGCTGGGTATGTACCTCCCTTGGCCATGGGCAGAGTGAGGCCTGGAAATCTGGGCACAACTCGCTGGGCCAGGAGTACGCAGAGCCAGCCCAGATATCAGTGCCAGCCCCACAGGTAAAGGTGTGTCCTGTCTCCCCCAGGAAGTGTCCCCCTAATCCCCAACTAAAAAGGATCCTTCCCTCCCTTCTAAATAGTAAAAATCCATCTCCTTGAAGCTCTTCCCTTGGCTCTGCACATTAAATCACAACCACTAACATACCCACAGTTCTTTACATTTACACCAGGATTTCTCAAATCACCCCATTGAAATTTGGGGCCTGTCCTGGGCCTTGTAGGATATTTAGCAGCATCCCTGGCCTCTACTCACTAGATGCCAGGACCGCCCCTCCCTCTTCCAGGTGACAACCAAATATGTCTCTAGACATTGCCAAATGTCCCAAGGGGGGCAAAATCACCCCGCGTTGAGAATCAATAGCTTACAAGCACTTTCACGCCCATTACACTATTAGAACCATGTAACCTCTTCCCCTCCCACATTCAGAGGAGGGAGCAGATATTCTTTTCAGCCCCGCTTCCTAGGCCCAGAGGCGCAGCGACTGTCCCAAGGACCCTCTGCAAATCAGAAGCAGGACTTGAACTTGACTTATTCTCATGTGTCCAGATCTCATGGTTTTCATCCCTGCCTATAGAACTGTTTTGTATTATATATATAACTGTAGTCCAGTGGTGTGGCTGCTTCTTCTACAAGGTTAGAAACACCTGAGGGCTGAGGCTGGGGCATAAACCTCTCAGCATGTGCCCGAGTGCCTGGCACATGTCTGAACTGTAATAGGTGACCTCTCAGCATCCTCAGAGTGCCTGGCACATGTCTGAACTGTAATAGGTGCTCAGTCAATATTTGATGGATGGAGGAAGGAAGAGTTTATTCACTCCAGAGGGTTTGAAGTAATGGTCAAATGGTGCCCCATCTTCAGAGACCTCAAGTAGGAGGGATGTCTCCTTCCGCTGCCCTGAGTTTCAG